GAAACTTTTAGTCATGTTTATAAACCTACCGCAAACCAATTTATTCATGAAGCTGTTAATCTCGCCGGTGCTTTTAAAGAATTTGAGAATGCCGTTTTCGTTCATTATTTTTGTGATTATATGAAGGAAAAGTTTTTAAAATATTATGCGCATATTCCCCATATTTATGGTATTGCATTTATTCTCGATCCTCGTTATAGACTTGCTAATTTGGAAGATTGTTTCAACTTCCATTATCTTGCGTTTTTTGGTGAATTTCCAATGTATGACGATAACCCCATAGATCCGAAAACGTAATACAACGAGGTTAGTACTTTATTTTATGCCTTATTTAATGAGTTTCGTGCACAATATAACAACGCTCCCCCTCCCCCGTCACGAACATCTTCATCTAAAGGAAAATCGATTTTTAAATCTGCATTTGGCAATCTTATGAAAAAAATAAAAACAACTCACGTCACTGAACAAAGTGCATTGAATGAGATTACTTTGTATTTAACATATGAAGTTGATTTTGAAGAAAATGATGACTTTGACGTTCTAGACTGGTGGAAGTCAAAAGAAAGAACGTTCCCGATTTTAGCACGGATGGCTAAGCAAGTACTATCAATGCCGATTTCAACAGTTGCTGTGGAACAAGAATTTAGTTCGGCCGGCAACGTCCTAGCGGCATCTAGATCGAGATTGAGCGCGGAGTCTCTTGAGACGCTTATATGCTACCACGATTGGTTGAAGGCCGCACGTGGAACTCAAGAAATGAGCATCACCCCCTCCCAAGATTTTATGGATGATTCAACAACCGATGGTGGCTCTACCTATGCCGGAGATTCCGATTGATTAGTATTTTAGAATTTATTATAAAATGTATTTTATAGCACTTGTCAAATTTATTTATACTTGTACTTCATATTTCAAAATTGTAAGCTTGTACTTCATATTTCAAAATTGTAAATTTGTAGTTGTACTTCAAATTAATTTGTAAACTTGTACTTCATATTTCAAATAAATATGTGTTTACTTTTTCATATGTAGCACTTCTCAAATTAATTAATTGGTTACAAACTAACGACTTAAAATTATTTTTCTAAAATATAAAGCCGGTTTTTAAATTAAAAATACATTTACAATATGTAATTTGTTTAAATACTTATACACCTATTTTGTAACATTTGTAAATTATAAATCAAACCACTTTTCTAAGTACAAATAGTTTTAGTTTTACTTAATTCATTAAATTAATTAATTTATTTTACAATATGTATAACTTAAAAAAAAAATTGAAATCAAACCTCCCAAACGGCTATATAGCCGTTGGGGCTATGGGTGGGGTAGGGGGGTCCCGGGGGTGGTGGTGTGGGGAGTGGGGTTCAAAAACATCTATAAATACATCTATTTTCTAACATTTTTCTACACCTCTTCTCCAATTCTTCTCCAACTCTTCTCCATCTTCATCTTCTCTTATTATCCTCCATTCCTACTTATACATATACCATTTTAAATATGGAAAGTACATCTTCCCTTATGCAAAACAATTTTGACAAGTGGAAGGACCCGAAGACCGGACTGTGGTGGGCAACTTGCAGGTGGTGCAAGAAAGAGTGTTGCTTGGGGCGTTCATACGGATACGGGATGCCAATAAAACATATGAAGTCCTGTGACAAAGGGAAAACAACAACCAACGGTGGCGAAAATCCCAATTGATATTCATTAGAAAATGTATTTCGTATTGTTATTTTTTTCTCAATTCTCAAATGTAGTTCTTATTTCAAATAAATGCACTTGAACTTTGTTTTTAATAGGAATTTGTATAATATATAATTAATTAAAAAAAATACTGGCCCGGCCCGGCCCGGCGGGTGGCCCGACCCGTGACCCGGGCGGGTGGCCCGGCCCGAACCGGAACCGGCCATTGCCCGGGCCGGTCCCGGGCCTACCATTACAAGACCCGAGGCCCGACCGGGCCTTGACCCGGCCCGGGTCCATCACTACATCCGTGTCATTCAGTTGTTTGAAAGGTAGAGGGTTTAATGCACCAAACTCACTCATGAAATATAAATTCGGCTCATTAAGCCCCTGCGATCTAAAAATGCGTCAAACTCCCCGTGTTATAATTAATCATGCACAAAACCCCCTTCAAGAACAAATTTTACAATTTTGAAATCATTTTTTAATAATATGGTTAAATATGCAAGTAACTTTGTCAAAATTTCTAAATTATATAAAAAAAACTAATTGTTTTTCATTTTTTTTTGAAATTAAATTTGTTCTTAGAGGGGGTTTGGCGCATGATTAATTATAACAGGGGGGAGGTTGACGCATTTTTTAAATCACAGGGGACTAATGCGTCGAATTTATATTTTATGAGGAGGTTTGGTGCATTAAACCCGAAAGGTAGACCATTTATTCGATATTTTGGAAAGGAAGAAAATTTCTCAACATCCAATTACCGACATTAATATTATATTATAGCTATGATATGATTCTCTATCCTTAGTGCGACATTTCGATGAATTCACATCTAAATGAGTTTTTATGCTCACTTGGCATGTCACTGCGTACTCACCATAGTTTGTACTTGGCATCAAACTAAAAGAATAGCTTCTCGATCATGTGTTAAAATTAACATGAGCAAGTAAATAAAGTGAAAACTGAAGTTTAACCCCGTAGAATATTGATTAGGAAGACTAACCATAGAGAACCGCTTGTACTCTCTTTATTCTCTCCGTCCTGCCACCCCTCCCTCAGTCCCTCCCCATCTGATTTTCTTTCACCTCTATTCATTAGATGTCTTTCACCTCTATTCATTAGATGTCTTTCATAAAAGATGTTTTTAATCCTTGGAAATTATTTATTCCAAAAACTAGGCACACAAACAGAACCCATCCTCATCTCTTTTGTTTCTACGAATGGTACAAGCCTACAAGGCTACAATGGACTGATGGAGCTACAAGAGGCCTAGGGTTGCGAATATCGAATCCTAACCCCTCATCTCAAGGAAAATTTTGTTTCTACGCCCACCGGTCAAAGTGACTCCGTCCATAGTGACACCCAATTCCGGTCACAGTGACCCAATTTCGGCAACAGTGACACCCGATTCTGGCAATAGTGACACCTGATTCCGTCATAGTGACACCCAATTCCAGCCATAGTGACATCCGAATCCGGTCGTAGTGACTCCCAATTTCAGCCACAGTGACATGCCAATTTCGGCCACGGCCACCACTTCTGCACCGCCATCCCGCATACACTGCTTACTCCCATGCCCCAGCACCCCAAGCCCCAGCCCTTGCCCATGCCCGAACACCCCATCCCATGCCCCTTGCCCTGCCCTAGCTCTGGCCTCTCACCAGCCCATCCCTAGCCACCGCCAAACACCGCACCCCGCCCCAACCCTGCAAATCACTACTTCTGACCACTTTACCTTCGGTGCTTGTCACAACCTTAGCTGTCATCGTCTATGTCGTGAACAATTGCCGTTCAGAATAGATCTAGCCACTGCCGTAAAAAACGTTTGTATCCACCTCCGTTGCCTCGCAGCCACGCCATCCCAAATTAGAACCGGAGTCTACGATTGATGAAAAAAATGAAAAGAGAAGAAGAGAGATGAAGCTGGTTGATGGCAATGGTGGCGAATTGTGACGCGGCGGCTTGGAGACAATGGCGAGGCGACGACTAAGAGACGGTGGCGAGGCAGTATCTAGGAGACGGTGGCGAGGCGAAGATGATGGCCTGACGTTGATGGCCACACAATGGCAATTGTCGGCCGTTGGAGGCGTAGCAAGCGCCGGCCGTGAGGTAGATCGAGCAATGGATGAATGAGGAGATAGATCTATGGTGTGGTAGAAGCGGTAAATGGTTGACAAGGAGGAGGAGGCGTTGGATTAGAAGTAGGTCGGAGATTTGCGATGAAATGCAAAGGAGGAGCAATGGTTGACAGAGGAAAAAGAAGCTAGGGATTGACCCGCTGATCTAGTGCGACGTGAACGGACGGATGGGTCACTTTCCAGGGAAAAGAAAAAAAAATCATATTTTTAGAATCTAAAAAGCTACGGGTAATATACAGGCAATTCTTTCTAATCTTATCCACATAAATGACATTATTATGGCCTTAAGTAGGCATGGACCCGGTTCGGGCCGCCCGGCCCGGGACCGGCCCGGCCCGCCACTGTGCAGGCCCGGAACCGGCCCGGTTCTCGGGTCCGGGTCCAGGTCGGGCCTAGGCCCGGTGGGGGGGGCAGGTCCGGGCTCAGGCCTTGTATTTGGCAAACCGGCCCGGCCGGGTCGGGCCCGGGCCCGGGCCGAATTGACTTTTTTTTATTTTTTTCATTTTTTGGGGTTAGCTGGGTTGGGCTTGATGGTTAGGAGGGGTTTGGGGGTTTGGGGGGGTGGGGGGGTTAGGAAAGCAAAAAAAAAAAAAATTATGACCGAACCGGAGGCCCGGCCCGGACCCGAACCGGAGGCCCGGCCCGGCCCGGCCCGGACCCGGACCGGACCCGGTGGCTACCCGGGCAGGTCCCGGGCCTTCCTTCCCAAAAAAAAGCCCGACCGGGCCCGGCCCGGAACCGGCCCGGGTCCATGACTAGCCTTAAGGGTGACTTTGTGCTATGCGAAGGGCATTTGAAGTGGAAAGATTTTGTTTTTTAGATATTTCAAACTAATGGATAATTGTTACCTCAATGGCTCAATGGTCAATACCAAAATTTAAAAAAAAAATCGCTTTACTAGGTAATTGTTAAAAATAATATTTAAAAGTGCTTTCATTAGCTCAATTTCTCGTTTTCGCAAGCAATTAAAGGCAATCAAATTCCTCGTTTTTACCTAATATCCGTACTTCACGTCTTCACTATCGCTTCTTTAGCAACACAAAGGCATTACATAGAAATCAATCCATTTTCATGCAAAAAAAAAAAAAAATAGAAATCAATCCATCATTCCATCAACATCAGTTCACTTGTGTCAATTGTGAACTTATGCACATACCAGCAGTCTTTAAACATAACATTGATAAAAAATTTAATTAAATGACAGAAGCGATGGCATTACAGAATTGTATTCAATTGATTATGCACCATAATGACACAAAATTGTATTCAAATGGCATCAGCATTAACAGGAAGGCAAGAGCACAAGGGGTGGATGCAAAGGATTGGGAAGTACATAAAGATTCAGATTGGAGAATGTTAGAGGAACAATCTTTAAAACAATTCAAAATCCTCAGAGTATGTACATACGTCACCTGTGTTTTGTATGATGAAGGCTGCATAGATTTGCTCAACCAGGTCACCTAGGCGAAAATATTGTGATCTATCAATGGACCAGAAGAGCAACTTAGTAGCAGTATTAATATATGTCAATGACCTTCATGATAATATTAATCAGCCATATGACTAACTCTATAGTCCAAAATAAGGATTAATAATATATGTCAAATTGTCAATGACCATAATAACATTAACCAGTTATATGACAATTAACTCTATAGGTCCCAAATAAGGAGCTCATAAGCCAAAGACAGAACCTTCCACAACAAAGCAGAGACTACTCATTTACCAGCAAATTTAGACGTTGCACTCAAGACACAGAGTAGCTCATGGATTCTTCATTTAAGAGAATTTAGCTGTGAGAAGTAAAAGATAAAAGTGGATTAAGCATCCATAGACATTACATCAATGCAACAAGTCTAAGCAAAAATAAATATAACAGTGAAATGACTATAAAAATAATAAAACAGTCCATTGATGTCCAAGAGCAAGCATGTGAATTAGTGGCCCATTCCTCTTTTGGCCCTAAGAGACTCGAGAGCCTTCTCTCTCAACTCAATTTCGAGTTTCTTTGCTGAATCTGCATCTTCTGAGACATTACCGCCATTAGTAGTCGTCTTCTCGGCATCTCCAGAGATGACATCATCACTATATGATTTCAACTTTTGTTTAGTCACGCGCCTTTCTTCCCTCCGGCGGCGTCTCTCTTCCCGTCGTTGCTGACGCTTCTCTTCCTTCTTCAATCTCTTCTCTTCTTTCTTCCTCCTCTTAGCCTCCTTCCTTTCATCAATACCTGAGTCGTAACTAGAATCACCATCAGAAGAAGAAGAGGAAGAGTCATGTTTAGCAGATCTCCTTTTGTGCTTCCTCTTTTCCTTGGCTCTATATCTTTGCTTATCACTTTCCCCGTGACCTGAAACCTTTTCATTTTTAATGTCATCCGCTTCCCTAGATGACTCATGCAGATTTTTTGACTCTTGACGTGGATGAATATTGTTCTTCTCGTCATTGGCTTTGGCGTTCTCCAAACCCAACGATTCCCTATCTTTCTTATTAGCTAAATGAGATCCTGAATGGTTAACAGGCGATTTTCGTCGTTCATCATCGATATCTAGTATGTGGTCCATCCTTCCAGGTGCCTTTTCACTGTGATCCAAAAAATTACACATCAAAAAGTAATGCATTAGTAATCAAACAAAATTAAGAGCCCCATTGTAGATGTTACTGGCACAAACGGCCTGCGGAATTCTCAATTCTCATTAAAGAAAATTGTTTGGTAACATCCATTTCAGCAATATAAATCAAAAGCTAATTATTCTGATCATTTTGCAGGAATAACCAGATAACCACTACCAAACAGGGACTAAATAAGGCAAGCATCTTTGGAGTTTCAATTATGTGTCATTGGTACGTTTGATTCTCCAGAATTTTGAATTATAATTTGCGAAGTACAACATTCAGAAGCTTGTGTATTTGTGTTAGTTTTGTTAATCCCGTGGACGGGACGCTAAGCCATTAGAATTCTCCAACTCCATCCGTGTATTTAAGTTTCATCTACAGGAGGACCACCAATATTGTCAGAACCTTGACAAGTTGGGAGTATAATTTGCAAGTTTTTTAAAGAGGGAGCCAAAATGACCAATAACACATAATTGGAGGCTATGTAGCACAGAAACGCATCAAACTTGAGAAACGTGAAACATCTTTCAATAAAAAATATGCGACGTGTTCAAATAGATTTTTCAGAAAGTGTGAAAACTCCTTCCAAGAGTTGCGGTGCATCACAGATTGGACAAATAATGTTTTACGAAGTACGTAGTATATGTTACCAGTCAAAAAAATAAAGGTTTCAGACTTATGTATAATGAGCTTAGACATAAAAGATGTCAATCATGTCATATGACAGCATAATTGCAACAAACCTTCTTGTTGCTTCATTTCTTTTCCTTGGCCCAGACCCATTAGGGTGCCGCCCAGTCTCATCCGACCTAAACTTTTGTTCAACATTTCGCCTGAAATAAAGAAGAAACACATCTCAGAAAAGAAAGCAGGCTACTTACAAAATTTTCAGTAAAAGAAAAAAATGTTAATTTTGATTGGCAATATGCAGCAAAATTTTGATCTGACACAATGAGACATCTTAACAATGAAAAATATCATTAACTACCTAGAAATACTGGCATCTTTTGCATCTGGGCTTCTCTCAGATGTATCAAGTTGCAACTTATATTCTCTTTGCTTTCGCAGAGGACTTGGACTTCTGTCTGGCATTCTCTTTTCGCTTCTTTCATTCAGGTTACTCTTGTCTGGACTCTTTGGCCTAAAGGTTCTCTCAGATGTATCAAGTTGCAACTTATATTCTCTTTGCTTTCGCGGAGGACTTACACTTCTGGTTGGGATTATCTTTTCACTCTTTTCATTCAGGTTACTCTTTTTGGGACTCCTTGACCTACAGTGATACAAGCAATGTTTAACCTTCACAAGCCATGCAAAAAAAGAATATGGGAAAACAGATGGGTAATTTCAAATTTTGGAAGGATAGAAACTTGGGGGGACTAAAACACAAATACACAATATATCAATTTCACACATTTAAAAGAGACTTTTTACACATAAACAATATATATATATATATGAATAAATTCCACTTTTGGTCCTACGAGTTTTAGGCCAATTCCACAGTTAGTCCACATCTTTCACTTTGTCCACTTTTGATACATGACTATTGTATTTTCAACCATATACGGTCCTTCCGGCATTGTTTCCAATGGTTAAAATTGCCGGAAAGGACCACAAACGGTTTAAAAACATTAGTCAAGTACCAAAAGTGGACGAAATGAAAGACGTGGACAAAGGTGGAATTGGCACAAAACTCATTACTCATAGGACCAAAAGTGAAATTAATTCAATATTTATTTAAAACATCCCAAAGGTGTTAATCAGATTTGACATTCCTTTGCGTTTTTCTATTTAAAAGTTAACATACAGAAACAGAACTATTGACCATTATCCGTAGATTTTTTTTAGTTTGCTACTACTTTCCATGTTTCAAACATACCTTTACGCTTTTGGTGCAAAAATTTAAATTATTGTTCATTTATGGATCTGAGGTTATGTCCTATGTATTAATTCCTTTCCAGAGAGTAAACCAAAAGGCATTGCAAGTATTGACACCTAAGGAAAAAACACAATTTTTCTTTAACCAAAAATATAAACTGTCCCACACCCAATTACATATTAGATTCATATGATACTACGTCTTTCTGTAACCCTAAATCTTTGACCTCTACAGTTTAAAATTCCAATGACACAATTGATACTACGTCTTTCTGTAAACTAGATTAATGCAACTTTCCGGGCATGCTTGCATAAAAAGAAACCATTGAATAATAAAAACGTAAACCACTAAACGAGCTCTTTGAAATTGGAAATTAAGACGAAGAAGCCATAGTAACAAGCTGGCAAGGAGACTATAATGTTTTTTATCAGAATTTTTTCATAAGGGCGAGAAAATGGACAGGCACAGGCAATCTGCCGATTCGTGGGGAATAAAAACAAAGTACCAAGTATACTCTATAGTCCATGAGAGTCGGGAAGAATTGTTCATGTGCATATACATGTGCTTCGTGGGGAATAAAAACAACTTACCAAGTATAAGAAAATTGCTTAGTTCATTGACAGTGCAAAATTACATACATAAGTCTTTTAAGATAGTTGTGGCTCCCATTCAAACCATTCACTAGGATGAGGAACCAAAAGGTCAAAATATTAAAGACATTCTAAGAACCAAGATAAATAAGTACTTTAAATATAATAGACATTTAAATCCTGCACATTAATAATAGTAAGCATACCTCATCCTTCCAATAGGAGAATGGACAGGTGACATCCTCTCACGTCTTGGTGCTCTCTCTTTGATTGGTGAGAGACTTCTCTGGCGTGCTGGTGATTTAGAAACCGAATCTTCAGGTGATGGAGACCTCCTTGGTATAGGTGACCTAGATCTTTTCCTAAGTGGGGACCTGGACACCTTGCGGCCAGAACCAGGGCGATGAGCAGCAGATGGAGAACCACGGCGAGGACTCGATGGGGAATGACGAGACCGTCTCTTGAAGGGAGATGGTGATCTATGGCGCATGTGGTATGGCGTTCTTCGATGAGCTGGCGAAGGGGATCTATGTCTTAAAGGTGATCTTGACCTACGCCACATTGGTGATCTTGACCTATGCCACATCGGTGATCTTGACCTACGCCGTAATGGAGACCTAGACCTACGTCGTAAAGGAGAATACCTACGGTATCGCCTGGGAGAAGGTGACCTGAGCCTTGAACGAGACACAGATCTACGCCTTCGTCTTGGAGGAGACAAGGATCGTCTGGGTGAGCGCTTATGCCGAGGTGAAGTCGACCGTTTTATAGGTGAGTGGTGTTTCCTTTCATCAGAGGATATAGAGCGCCCTCTTTGTTCAGGACTTGAATTATGCTTTTCACTAAAGCAACAAGTATCAGTTATCCATGACATTACCACATGTAATCATTTGACCAATAGAAAGGAAATTTATACAAAGAATGCAGTAAATGAACCAACAAATCAAAGACACCACAAAGGAATTACAAAACGAAATATGAAATAGACAAAACAATAAAAACAGAAAACCATATGCTACACAGCTAAAGGTTGGGAAGCATACCCCGAGTAACTTCTAGAGTTGGAAAATGACCTACTGATTGACCTTGAACGTCTATCCCTGCACCAAGAAATAAATTAAATTATACACAAGATTAAAAAACTAAAAAGAGTTAAAAGAATAGGCTCACTACCTCCGTGGTGGAGTATGAGCATCTGAGTGTGAAGACTTTGAGGTATACAGATGCAACAACACATATAAATACTGCACTATTTTACTACCCAAATACATGCATGCACGTCATTTTAAGGACGGAAGCAACCCAACTACCCAATGAAAAATAATGATAAAAATTCAACTCTTTTGACCTTTTTCTTCCTTTTGAATTATTATTGTCAGCATGATCCTCCTTCTGAGCTGAACGTGTGGGGGAATGCCTAGCATGATGCTTTGAAGATGGTTCCAGTCCGGCATACTTATCTCTTGACATGGAAATATCATCCTCCTACAGTAGTTTGAGGTAAAGGACATGAACCCAAATAATTGCAGAAGCAAGCTGACTAGCTGATTAACATGAAACACAAACCAAGGTTAAAAACAAAAAACCAATACAAAGCAATGGAACTCTGTCATGGAAAATAGGAGACTAACCGCCTTCCTTTTCTCGTGCTCCAGTTCCTCATATTCTCTGTCCTTTCTCCTCTGTATTTCATTTGTTACTCGATCAGACTCCACCTACAACCACCAACCAAGAACACTCTAGATGAAAGTGCATAGGACAGCAAAGAAATAAACAATATCAAGTACCAAATGGGAGAAAGACCTTTTTCTTCCTTGTTTCTTCTTCTTTCGCATCCAAGAACTGCTGTGGAACACCACTTGCATTGTTCTGAGCACTAAGTAGTAGTAACCAGAGCTCTTTCATGAACTTTCCAGTATTCCTCTCCATAAATCCAGTCAGTTGAATTTGGATCTCTTTTCCATTTACATCCTGCAATCAATTTCACAACAGGTGAATCCCGGAATAAATTAAAGTACCAAGCACCCAAATAAGCTTGAATATATGCCACTACCTTTCCTTCTAGAAGACCGTATATGAAGTTGATAAGCACTTCATCTTCAATCCCTACAAACTCTGTGACTCGCTTCGCAATCCAAGGTCTCATCACATCCATCTTCACCTTAGTCATGTCCACCTATCCCCATCAATCAAGCAGCAAAAACAAAGATTGAAATTGAAGTGTCAATTAAAACACAGATGCAGATATTAACCCAACCCTACAATAAGAAGCGTGGTAAGGAAGTCTGGAACAAAACCATTAACCACCTCATCCATCTAAAATTCGTCCATGCCACCCTAAACGCATAATTAGTACACCAGCTAAAAACTAAAAATTCGGCCCCGTCTGACCATACAAAGTTACCCGAAATCAACGTTTCAGCATTTCAAGCATTAAATACATGCAGTAGTTCGACTAAAAAGGCTGTATATAGTATATACGAACCAGATGCTCCAATTCGGGAGCGAACTTCTGTGATTTCAACAGCTTAGCTTGTTTGTTGGAGAACCGAGTGTCTTGATCGGCAGACGTACCCTAGAATAAAAATGTAAAAAGACAAAAACTAATAACTTCAATATCTTGGATCTACGGGCGAAATTCCGGTGGACGCAGAATAAAAACATCTAGTTCAAGCAACTCGTACCCGGAAAAACCCTCCTGACATTTTTCACGGTTTGCGAACTGAAGTGTGGATTCTAATGAGTTGCGTACGCGAGTGACAGTGATTGAGATTCTTCTCGAATTGGACACAAGAGTTCAAGACATGTCTTGAAGCGGCTACTGACCTGCAAGTTCGAAACTAGACAAATGGAAGTGAAGGCTTCCGCATGAATATCATCGGATACGGTTTCGGGTTCAGGTTACAATTGGTCTTTCAGTCTGATAAACAATTTATGTGGGCTTGAAAGTTGAAACAAGAGGTTACAATTGGTCTTTCAGTCTGATAAACAATTTATGTGGGCTTGAAAGTTGAAACAAGTTTTGGACTCTCAATTTGTACTGTGTGTAGGGGTGTGCATAAACCGGTCCAGACCGCATTTTGAACCTGAACCAGACCGGAATGGACCTGTCTGGACCTGTCCGAAGTATACAGGTCTTGGTCTCCGATCCATTGAAAATTGAGATTCCGGTTTCCAGTCCGGTCCGGTCCGGGTCAAACCCAGAAAAAACAAGTCCGGACCGGTAACCCGATTAGTACTATTATTTTATCTGTATTAGTGTTACACTGGTATTTTATCCAAAAAAAATTACTGTTTGTTATTATGTTTTTTACATCGTAACGGACAATGAACAATTGTTGCATGACTCCATACTTTTATTCTTAAAGATAGCAAGCAGTGATAGTAATATTTGTAATGCTTTTTGGGAGTTGTTGCCTTAGGAAATATTTAATCTTAACATTTAGTGTCCAATTCTTGAGTTATACGTAGTATAAACTTAAGTTGCAGGTTTGCACTAATAGGGAATAAGGATGAAACACATCTATGCCTTCAAAAAAATCAAAAACTAAAGTGCATTTTTAATACCGGTCCAATCAGGTCTAAAACCGGACCGACCTGGAATAAACAGGTCCAGACCGGTTTGGACCGATTGTTATCAGGTCCGGTCTTCGGTCCATCCAAAATACAAATTCCGGTTCCGGTCCGAAACGGTTTTGGACCGGTGCACACCCCTAACTATGTGTTGGGAACTTGGGAGTTTTTTTTCATATTTAAAAAAGTTCTTAGATTAATGGGTTTTAGGGGTTTGGAAGTGTGTTATATTAGCTTGTCATGTCACTAATATTCTATTTTTTAACTATAGTTTAGAGTGAGATAGAAAGACACATCCATATTCCTTTTTTGTGCAACCATAAGTGACACACTTTAATTAGTCTCACACATGAATATATGAATACACGTATAAAATGTATAGACGAAATATAATCAATAAATTATAATAACTACTCCCTCAGTCCCGAAATATAATATGCACTCCGTTGGGCAAAGATTTTAATAAAAGATGTGAGAAGCTACCTATATTCATTTTTTAGCCTCCTTGTAGTACACAGACGCCTCATATGTTAAAAAATTTACAGCGGTAAAATGACTACCTCTACCATAAACACGTGTCAAACCTTTAATACATACATAGTAGTATCAGCTAATTAAATTTTCTCTTTCTTTTCTCATCTAAAATTGCATATTCAAAGTATTTGACATAGCTATTCATGAAGCTTTAACTTCAAGAATTGTGTTGGCAGAATTCCTATAAAGAAACGGACTATCATTCGCTGCACAGCTATTGCACTTAACATGTCAAAACCAAGTCTTCATAGGAAAATCAAGGAAGGATGTTTGAGGGCTCGATATATGTTATAAAATATAAAGCCAACATTGGCCAGTGAAAATCAGAAGGTAAGACTATTGCATATCCATGATTGATCCTAATTCATGTCCCAATAGTCCATTTTCATAGATATGTATGATCGTGTTCATATTGACGAAAAGCGGTTCTTCCTTTCAAAATGTTCTCAAAAATATTATCTACATTCGGATGATAATGAACCTTGCCGCACGTGTAACAGTAAAAAGTTTATCACAAAAATCGTGCGTTGTTGCTTGACCTCAGTTTGATACAGAAAAATGTGATTTTAGACGAAAACATTGGCATATTTTCGTGCATCTATAAGGAAGTTGTTGAGCATTGAAGTAAGAATAGAGAAGTTGGTACATTAGAAACTAAACCAATTCAATCTGTAACTAAAGATGTTACTAGGAGATGGCTAATTGAGTATATGTTGTCTGCCAGAAGGGGGAAATGGTCTTCAAGCGATTCAAAAACTATACGCTACCTCCGTTCTTAAATAAGTGCAACATGTTAGATTTTACACTATTCACATGTTCTACTTTGACTACATTTTATTTATTGATGTATTAATATATATTTTTTGAAAAAAATATTAATTAATTTGTTTCATTGTAGATTTTCAAAATCTTATTTTTTTAAATTTTTTACTAATAAAGAATTATATATATTAACGGTCAAAGTTGTGTCTCGACAAGTGTGAAATATTGATTATTGCACTTATTTAAGAACCGAGGAAGTATATATATCCAAGTATCCAACAAGATAATGTGAAGCCCCATATTAATGTCAATGGTGCTGAATTTTTAGAGACCTCACATAAAGATGGGTTTGATATTTGCTTATTGTGCCAGCCTCCTAACAGTTCAAATTTGAATCACTACTCGAATAATAGATATTTGTTGCGGTCATTTTTACCTATTTGCTGCGGTTATGAACCACAACAATTGGCAGGGTAGCAAATAGGGATCAACAAAAACATGGGTTTTGACTCATTGCTGCGGTTCTGAACCGCAGCAAATAACTATCAATTTCGCAGCAAAAACTCTCTAAAACATTGTTTTTTTGGTGCATTATTTTTGTTTTTCGACACTACCAAAATTTATAAATCTGATTTTTACTAAAATATTTCTTATTTTAGAAAATAAAAAACAATTCCATTCGACAATCTACGTGTCTCATCGATCAAAACCATAATTTCAAAACATATTAAGTTATACATCACTAAAATCCATAAGGTATACAATACAAGTTACCGCCTTATGTAAGTTTATCACCACTAAAAGTTTACAATAAATCATCACACACTTATATGACCAACACATCGCGAACTTTCAATTCTTCATCACTTGAAAAAAAACTCATCTCTTCGGGTGCCCTGGTAAACCTAAAATATTAAAAATTTACAATTACTATACATGTATATACCACTCAAAAATGACTTATCCTATAGATAACTTTCAATGATTTGAATACATTTATTACAAAATCAATTAAGAAAATTCATAAGTATTATTATGCACCTGCTTTAGTACAGTAACACTTCAAACCATGTTAGTCAGAGGGAATACCTTACCATTGGTACTTGTCCTTACTTACAAAAGATTTCTTCAAAAAAGAAGGTAATAAATTCGAATATTAGCTTAAATTAAAATTCAATTTTATACTAATATTGAATCAATAATTTCATTCAATTTACACATCTATTAAAATGAAAAATACTAACACAAATTAAAACAACACCGATAACACCAACAAAAAATATATATATTCCTCTCTAACAAAAATGAATCAAAATTAATTACACAAAACTTATTAAAATGATAAATACATAAATACCTTGAAATATGTTGCGAAGCGGGCTACTAACCAACAAAGCCAGAGACAGTGGACGGAGACTAAGAGCGGCGGTAGACGGTGGACTGAGACTAAGAGCGGCGGCAGGTGGCGAACGACAAAGGGAGACGGACAAGTTGCGGCGACTGACAAGTTGCGGCGACGGACGAGCTTCGGCGACAGATGAGCGGAAACGGACGAGCTGCTGCGGCGGACATCCTCTGGAGCGGATCTGTGGCGGCGGATGTTCGGCGGGGAAGGCGACCTGATTTGGTGATATAGCTACATATTAAATAATGACCGTTGTAATTAGTTGATCAGTTAGGATCAGTTATATTCTGTTTTGACTTAGTTTGTTAAGTCAAATACAACAATTACTATAAATGTACAGTTGAACACCTCATCATGAATAAGAAATCACATTCATTATTCTCTTTCAATCATTACACTCTCTCTTCCCTATCTCTGTTTACATTTTGGATTATGTAGAACTCTCGAAGATCTCTTTCTTCATTATACGAGCATCTTCATCCATCCTGCATCATTGGTATCAGAGCTCTTCTGACTCCTGAAGTAATCTGCTGGCTACTACTTTCAATTGATGATTGAGAATCTGGCACCTTCAATTAATACTAGGGTTCATCAGCTCAAGAATATCATGGAGTACAGAATCAACAATTTAGAGAAGAATTTGGAGAAACAATCTTCAGTTCTGGTGGAAATTATGAAGCATTTGAATGATAAAGAGAAGAAGAAAGGTATCCTAATAGAAGAAGAGGGCAAAACTTCTTTACTACCAAGTATTCATCATCAAGCTACTCACAGATCTTTAGGATTTACTCCTGAGTTGGAATTCCCTACTTTTGACAGTTGTAACCCTAGAATGTGGATGAAAAAGTGTCAACACTATTTCAAATTGTGTAATGTTCCTGTTGAGCATACAGTTGATTTGTAACCCTAGAAGCGTGGTTTCAAAGCTATCTGTCAGTTAAAAAATCTGTGGAATGGGAAGAATTGGTTGTGGATATATGTGCTGGTTTCAAAGAAGATATAAGAATCAATATATAGTTGAATAATTCAATAAATTGCTTCAGACATGATCTCTTGAAGAGTACCTAGATTCTTTTGAGAATTTGAAGGCTTTGATGATCCAGAGAAATCCTCTTCTACCTGATCAGTACTTTATTGACAACTTTATTCCACTTCAATAAGAAGAGCGGTAAAGAGCAAAGTGAGAGTAGAGATTGATAGTATCAAACGGGCATAAATTTGAATTCACCCACATTTATTTTTGTGAACATTATTGTTAGTTCAGATTAATTTTATAGACACTCTTAGGGGGTGTTTGGAACCGCTTTTAGAAACTGATTCTGCTCTCCCAAAGAGCACTTTGAAGCAGAATCAGTTTTCAGGGTGTTTGGATCTGATTTTAAAAGTGATTTTAAATGGCTGAAAAATCAGATTTGTAGAATCTGGGTAGGAGCAGCTTCTCCAAAACAGCTTCTGATTCTTCTAATTTTATTCCTAAAATACCCCAAGCAATATATGATACTCCATCGTGGAACTAGGCTTTCTCTTCTGCGCATTTTAGGACCGGCCAGAGCTCTTCCCACCTGCGCCGCAACTCTTCTTCTCCGCCGAGATCTAGCCTGCGGTTCTTCTCTATCCACAGCCCAGGTAAAGCAATGAGCTCTTCTCTTCTA